TAAATATATGTTTTAAGTGTTATAAGACGTTTCTTTTATTTACTTTCCGTAAATATTCTTTCCCAAGTTTTGAAATAAAATTATTTTAGAGGAAACTGATCACTAACTGTGAATTTTATGTTATGTTTATAATAAGAAGTTAAAAGGAGTTATCTTTGTTACAAAAATGCATCAGTGTCGGTCACGGCGCCTAATGTGATTTAGCTACAGGCATGTTGTGTGGGAAACTTCTACAGTATTCTACAGGCGCCACTGTGAAGTTATTTTGACTAATTTTGTTAATAACGCAAATTTTAAAATTAATTCAGACTGATTGCAGGTATGATGATTAAAGATCCAATAAAATATATCTAACTATCTAAATTTACCAAAAGTTATTTTTTAGTTCTATTGGCCTAAGCGATCTTAAAGTCTAGAGTACTTATACATGTCAATTGTTCACAATATCTGAAATTGAGCGTGAAATTAAAATAATAACCTAAAAAATTACTCACGATAAACATTATAATTTGTTTACGTTAGTTATGGTGAATAAATAAAATCTTGGTGGTTTCCGAAGGTTTACCGGGTTTCGCAAAAAATGTTTTAGCTTAATGTATAACATATCAGCTGTCAGCTGTTGTTTCAAAGTGAGGGTGATGTGGAAGGGATGGACTCGTTTACCTCAAACCACCTCATTTTTGTGAACGGAGTATAATTTTACAATACTTTATGTGACAAGATAATTATGAAGTAAAAATTTTCTTCTAAACAAAAAACCTCTGTTTCAATACATGTATTGGGGGGATTCCTTTATGTCCAGTCCGTGTAAAGGAAGCAGCTGAAGTCGATGACGTAAGTATTCTATTTTTATAGCTCTCAAATTCGTCCGCTGATTTCATCAAAGAAAATAGTCCCGATTCACAATAGGGGCATCGTGTTGTTATTACAGTTTGTTTTATTCTATCACCATGTAATATTGTATATACAGTAGAACCTTGATAACAAGACCCTCATGGGGATTGTAAAATAAGACTTGTTATTAAGGTTGACTTCTAATCGAGGTTTGTAATAACATGTGATTAGGGGTAAAATAATTTTGAAGGGATTTGACAATGACACTTGTTATCAAGGGCGACTTGTTATCGAGGGTCTTCTTATCAAGGTTCCACTGTATTACTAAAATATTCACCCTTCCTAACATTTAGACAAATTAACTCGTGGAAGAATTTCAGTAATTATTGTACTAATTTATTGGCGGAGTAATACATTTTTTTTATCTAAGTAACAGATACACTATTGTAGCAAAACAAAGAAGGAACATATTTGGGTGTTAATTCAAGAAGGAAACATTTTTACAAAGTTTACGTTTGTAGATTATATAGGTAGCTAAAAGATTTATGCAGGATGATGAAAAATATATCACACAGATTATATTTCGCTAATTTATTTAGTTAATTTTGAGCTCCCATCGAAAAGAGTCGCTTTAGTTATTTGTAAAAGGATTTCACCATTTTAACAGGGAAAATGCAGAATTAATTTATGTGTGAATTAAGCTAGTTGGGTACATACGGTAGTGAAAAATAACTACAAGGAAATAACATGATTTTTAGGCCCTAGTGATGAAATTTACTATTCTACATCCCAAAATTCTTTACTGACATAAAAAAAACTCTGATCCACAAGCACTAAACGAACGCGTGGTAAGATCAATGAACTTGGAAGCAGAGTTTATTACATTCGAACTAAAAAAATCATCCGTTATTGGTAAAATGAAATTAAACCTAAACGGAAACATTCTTTTGAGAAGAAACCTTTGGTAACCAATATTAAAGCGGTTCATTTATAATTCTGTTCTTTTCTGAGGTTAAACATTGCAAGTTCTGCCAGGATTGGAGCCCCAGGGCCTTCGTCGAATGTTGTTTTCTTCTTATCTCCCCAAAATAGCCTGTACAGTGTACACCAAGAGTGGGGTAATATTTTTAGGTCTAGTAGTTACTGTACTGTAATTTTGCTTATCATCAACATCTTTGATGTACAATACATTTCGATATACAATAAGATCTTTTACTTTTCCTTGGGGGTACAGTATTAATATTTAAGTGGTGACAAACTGTTTACAATTTTCTTATTTAATTTAGTAAGACTACAAAACATCAAACCTCAACTCAAATTGTGAGGTTTATAAATTTTAATTTCGTTAATAGATTAATTTAACCATGGAAACTTTGAAAAGGTAAAACATTTTATGAATAATTAAAGCATAAATTAATTTGTTTAAATCTTTTATATTTTTTATTATGTTTGGGCTTTCTGTCTACTATAGCTATGGTTCATTTTGAAATTCAATATCCAAATCCAAATAGATTGTCAATATATTGGAGACTTAAAATTACAAGATTCTCCAATGTTTAAAGAATACAAACAGACACTTTAATACTTAAAAAATTGCGACCATACGAAGGTACGTATTTTAAGCCAAGTATGAATGGAGATGAGTGTAGGATGAGTGGTGCGATCTTGTAGTCTTGTTACTGATTAAGGCCGATATAATCAAACAATGGTAAAGATTAAAAGAAAAGTTAGTCACAGACTAATTCGAGATTCAGACAGATTTTAGTGAGAAAAACAAAACAAAGCGTTTGTGAAAACATCTCTCGTTGTGGGAAAGTCTTGACTCATTATAGTGCTAATAAGCCGGTGAACTGACCAACGCCATATGTATGTGGAACACTTTTACTTTACTATGTAGTTCACAGCATTATATCTTTCTATGTGTAACTCTATAAGTGTAAACATCTAGTGGTTGAATAAATTATGTCTAGTTGATTGTAAAATGTTATGAGTCTTGTATGCTAATAATGTGAGAAGGAAAATTGGTTCATAATATTGTTTAACACATCTATTTACATTATGTTTTTATTCACCTTTATTTAAGCACCAATTGAAATCTAGAACTAGTTTTTTTAGACTAGAACGGAAATAATGGGAACAGACTACTATACATATTTGTTCTGTATATTTGTCAAACTAATTCAAGGGAAGCTACAACAATAAGTAAATAACTGGGTAACTGAGTGGTTATAGTGCTTTCTTTACAATCAAAAGGGTTGATCACAGGTTTGATCCTGAGAAATTTAGGTAGCTTTTTGAAGGTTACAGACTGGACCCAGCTGTTTTTGATCATTGGGCTTTTAATAAATGATCCTAGCTAAGCAAACAGCTGGTCTTAGTCAGTAAAACACTAGTCATATCACAATATTCTACACTCATCCTTCACTCATATTTAGGTTAAAATATGCACCTAGGTGGCATCCCCATCTTTATTGGTTATATAATAATAATTTTTAACTTGTAAACATTGCATAGATGTATAAACTTTGTATACAGTACTTAATTAAAAACAGTCGTGATTTTTGTGTAGCCATGATATTACTGACTGCCTTGTTAGAGAAAAGTAGTTAACATCATTCTACATTTCGTAGGCACAACTCTTGGAAGTTTCAATGAGTTTTAAATCTGAAGTCTAGTTGATTATATACATTATCATGAAGTTATTTTCCTAACCTAATTATATTTTTAGAGCAAATGTATTCTGTCCATAGCATTATTGACAAAAGAGACAGAACTAGTCTAATACTGCCCCTGTTTTATATCACAGCTGATTTCCATGAAACATCTGTAGTTCTTCCCGCGTATCACATAGTCAATAAGTGAAATTATAAAATTGAGGTGGTGTCTGTCTGTCTGCGAAGCTTTCACGACTAAAATACTAAACCGATACAGCCAAAATGAAGCACAAAGAAGGTCCACATATCTAAGAATGTCATAGGCCTATTCACTTCCCTGACTTCCTCTCGGACCCATCCCCTTAAATGTCCAAATTTTCGAGGTGTTTTCAAAAGTAAATATTAATTGGTCTCCATGGAAACATGAGAAAATTCACAATGTTGCGTGCCATTTAAATGTAAACAATCAGAACTGCCAAATGCCCATTTCACAGTTTCAGACAGCTAAGAAATTAAATGAAAAAAATCCCTTCTTAAATAAATAAAATAATATTCTCATAACACACAATACACATACATACATATTTACATAATATATGTAATATTTTAATAATATTCTTTATTAAATAAATAAAGAAATTAAATATATTTTACACAACTATGTAGTAGGATTATTAAATCTAAAACTTTAGATGGATTATTTATTCTAAATCTATTTAAATGATTATGATTATTAACTGAATTTCTTTCCGTTGCGAAGTACGGTTACAGTAGCTAGTAATCAATAAGTGAAATGAATAGCATATATTCAACAATTAATCAGGTGACTTAGCTGGAACTAGAGGATAAACAATTTTAAATATTTTGTTACATTTTTAGTCGGTCACTCTTTGAATTATGTTCCTTATTCAAGATTCGTCAAACTAAATAATTGTGAATAAATGTTAGTGAAAAAATGACGACTACAAAATTAATCAAATAAATAGTCGTGTTTTACTGGTTATTGTCTATTCTGAAAATTTATTAAATACTTGAACACACAATAGTGTTATCAAACATACCAATCCACCTATAATGAATTGAAGTGTATACGAATAGACATATCTTATTTAATTATTATGTAAAACCATAAAACATAGTTTGTATAAGCAGTTTTTGGTCTCTCACATGAAATTAAAACTCAAGCTGTAATTCTTCTGAAGCTATATGGAAGTATACTTGAGCGACCTTCAATTGCACATGCGTGCAGTTCTAGCTTTCTCCAGCTGAATCACTGGGGGTTCTCCAGCACTCCAGTTCTCCAGTTCTCCAGGGTCATTCTACACGATCTGCATCTCAAGTGAGAAATTGTCTTATTGCTTTCTAATCCTATCACAAGAGCTTTCATCAATGTCCTAAGACAGCCAAATCTGTTCAACCTGTGAGCTGACAGTGCTTGCGAAGTTCTTGAAACTTACTTTGAAGTATATTAAATAATTATCTTGGAATAGGAAATGATCAACGAGTTTTTTTTACATTTTATTATAAAATGCACAATAAAAATAACATTTCTGTACAACTATAAAAATAACAACGTCAAAAGGGTGCAGAAGGAACAGGAGTTGAGGACTTTCCCTTAGACTTTTCCCAGTCGCTTTCTTCTCATTGTAGCCACTGGGAGATCAGATAAGTCCTGGACCTCTGGGAAATCTTGTAACGAATAATTGTTACTTGATAACAATTATCTTACTTCTTCAAGAAGAGGTAATCACTTAAGGTAAGTAATCACTTACGTTAAGTGGGAGTACCGCATTTATCCAATAGAAAAGCTGAATGTATATAACCGGTTGTACACCATAGAAACAATTCCAAGAAAGCAATTTAGCAATAATTTTAGGGGGAAATTTTCTAAGATTCTTTGGTTTTTGGAGTTTCCGAAGAGAGGTCTTCCGTGAGATCGGGGCGCGGAACTCACGACTATTCACAACAATATTTACAATTGGCGGTCAGAGGCTCAGTAAGATCCGGACCCACTGGGGACTCCGTAGCTGGATGAAGGCGAGGGGGGCGGGGGGGCTCCGTAGTTATCCTGGGGGGCCGCGGGGGCGCTGGGGGCGCCGTAATCAGACTGGGGCACTCCAGAGGGCGCGTACCCTTCTTGTTTCTGAAACAATACAACCAATACAAATTAATCTTCAATAAGGCGTTATGTTTATTATATTCTAAGTAAAAGTTTGAACTATACAGACGAAGAAACAATTACAGCTGCTATTTACGTTCCTAAAATGCTCCAATTATCATTAGACATAAATTTTTATAAGTTGTACGGTAAAAAGTGAATTTTAAGTTTATTCCAATAAAGGCTTTGTAAACTGTATATCGAAAGAAGTCATTGATGTTTTCATACCAATTGTAGAGGATTTAACACTTCACAATTAGGATAGGTATTTAAAAATTTACGTTATTTGAGAAGTTAAAAATCCATCTATCTATCGATGGTCGAAAATATTAATTAAAATATAACCTTGTTTAGTGAGTGTCTCACAAAGTATGTGCTAAGAAATCTCGAAAATGAGCTTTTCTAGTGTTAAAGTACAGTGCTTTGTTCCGTGAGGGTTTTCGACAACACCAATGAAAGTAAGTTTGACTACATTGGACTTCTCCAATTTAATGTGTAATTTGACTTTGAGCTTGTAAAACCTTCATGAGTACTTTTATTTCAAACCTCCTTCCGTTCTTCAAACATTAATTTGGCGAACATATTTTAAAAAGATAACCGTGTAGGCCTACTATACTATTTAATATTTCTTTGATAATTTTTTAGTGTTAAACAACTTTTTTGAACGATATAAAGTGTAAAAGAGTTCTTAAATTAATTTCCTGCTACAAATTTTACAACATTGTCAATATTTTTATTTAAATAAGTCATTAAGTGTATACATCTACTAAGACAACACTTGACTAACCTTTGCTTTCAGTTTTCGATAAGCTTACGTAAGTTACCAGACTACAAACTGGGAAATTATTTAGAATTGCTTACAATCTCCTGGCTTACTTAAACATCGTCCTACAGTGTAATCAGTTATTCTGTTTACGAAACATTTATAAAAATCAGCTGATTTATTTACAGAGGGGTTTGCTGATACAAGCTCAGCACGCCGGGCACGTCAGCTTTGCTGCCTCAGCGTCCCAATGCTGATAAGCTCTGAGATTTATTAATCAGTATTTTCGTAGGTATTCTTCAGGGCGTTACTTCAAGACTGGTGCAAAGCGAGAATATATTTAAACTTTTTGTTTCAAACAGGGTGTAGTTTATTTTTGCATTGTAGTGATTTCCAATAGCTTACTACAGTTGCACCTTAATGCGTTAGAGAGGAAGTTTAAAAAATTAATTAAAATTACAAACAGAATTGCATGTGATTTTTTGAATGTATTTACATAAAAATCCCTATTTTAGTAATTATTCATATAAAAGCTAAATCGTTCATAGATTTAAAATTTAATTAGAAAAAATCGGCTTTTAATGTCCAACCTTCATCGTGGAACATAGGTTCCAGCCTGGGACCGTTTAAACAATTACTTCAGGCTAGGCCCAAAGTGTTGTGGCGTTACAACTTGGAGAAAATCCATTGGTGATTGAATGGATTAGAACCTAGGACCTTAGGGACAAAGAGACCGCATTCTGTCTAATAGTAGTCGCAATATTGTACTACAGGGATAAAAAATATATATAAGTTTTGTATAATGAAACAAATCCCATTTATTATTCAAATAAAGAAAAAATCTTATGATTTTAAAATTCTAACATCCTTATAATTATGTAAATTGTAAAAGCATACAGGTAAAGTAGACTTAACCGTCTCACTTAGAATTAAATACGGTAATGTGAAGAGCTCTTCAATACGTTAAGTGGCTCTTTGGCCATTCTATGTTTGAAATGTTCTTAGTATATTTAAGGGGTACTTCAATATAAACTGATAAAAGTGCTCTATATACATTCTAGAGGTTATTTTGCATTAGCTATGCGTGTGGATGGAACCATTTCGTTTTAAGTTTTGATAAAGAAATTCCAGAGTTTACAGTCTATGATCTAGAATTAGTCAATTATCACGCATTACTAAACTTGCATGTTTTTTTAGTTTTCAATTTTTAAAAGAATGTAAACATTATTTACATAATTTCTGTCGTATCGTAGTGTACTGTGTAAACGTTCACTCACGAGCTCTTAGTTGATATTTTTAACGCAAAAGTTAAATATCAACAATTGTTTATGTCCCATCTTCATACAACTATGTCCCATACGCTCTACAACTAGACCAAGTCACCCCTCCATAATATTAAACAGTATACAGTATCTATTTTTAACTATGAAAAATGGCTTGCTACATTAAATCGCCGATTGTAGTTTTAAATCTCGAAGAATTCAAAAGGACCACGATTTATTATAAACTAACGTATTTTTACAACATTTGAATTTTCCATAGTGATAAAGTAAACCTATTTAAGTATATATTATTGTCTAAAACGTCATAATTACAGTTAAATGCATTGCCTGGTGAAGATTAAGGCGATGCAACTAAACTTTTGCCTAATACGCAACAACGCTGGAACTTTAAAACTACACTTTCTTCCTTGAAATAATTTAACCACCTACCTTATTGGTTTCACACAATATTATGGGATACTTTACAAAATAGTTAAACATCAGTTTTTGTTGAGAAACCAGCAGTTTATGGTGTGTAAACCGGCTCAACTGTTAGTGCGCCATTGTTGTAGGGTTGCGCATGTGTTCAACTGTCACAACATCAGTTTTAGCAGTTTGTCGCGCCTACTGCGCATGACATGTTTCTAGATTGTTCCTGCGCTAAGCCTGTAAGCTCCATCTTATCGATGCTTCAAGCTTTATATGGAAATTATTTAGGCTCCTTAGGTTTGTTTGACAAATGCTGAAGTGGACCTAGTTAGTCTGGATATTTTTTTTGCTGGAACATCCAGAAAATTAAGGTCTACGATACCAAAATACAACATTCTGTTTGAAAAGTAAAAGAAAATGAGTGGAATTTTTTTTACTCTTTCCCATGATATGAGGAAATTAAACCTTTTTGGCAATGTATGTATTGGTAAATAATATAATTTTGTAAACTTATTGTGCAAAAATAAAGAAATGTCCTTTTAATTTTGATACCTCTAAAAGGTTTTGAGGTAATTTTAGGTTCCTTATATCCATATTTAAGACCTCTTTCTTATTTTCTTACGTTTTTCCCCGAAAATAATCGTGCACATTTAAGAGAAATTGAGAATAGTTTTCAATATCTTTCTAGGGAATGTAACTATTGTCGTTAAAACCTATTGAACTTACTTTGTTATCGTAAATTAATATTTATAAATATGAAAAATTGCTAAATTTGATTAAAAAAGTAAGACTCAAAGGGCAACTATTGATACCTAGTAAAATGTAACTGATTGATTATAGTAAACTCAAACACAAATGATATTCACACAACAAACACACACACGCACACACGGACGCCTGGTAGAATAGTAGAAAGCACCCCAAGGCTAGCTTCTGGAGATCCTATCTTCACTTATTACGAACACTTTCCATTTCGGCCGGAATATCATTACTGTATTTGATGATCCAGCCGGAATACTTCCGTAAAATCAGGGACGCTGAGATAACAACATTCGTTTACTAATGTTTTGTTACACAACGTATAATCCTGTCCAATGTACTTTGAGAAATAATGAGAATGAGTGCTATTGGATAGATGGGTACATTGAGGTAATTGGTAGGTATCGTTGATGGGCTTTTGGAACTAGTAATTTTTGTAGTCTACGAAAAGTTGATTGTTGATCTGGGAAATCAGACCTTTCATTGTTTATCTGGTTCTATTGTTTCGTAGAGTGACGGCATTTGTCTTTACAAAGTGTTATAGTTACAGAACAAATAACTTATTACGCAGCTTTTTTAACGTCCAAACCTAAGTTAAAAATGCTCTTGACCTATAGTTTGTTCAAATAACGATTGAGGTTGCTGATATAACAACTTTGAAATATGGACTCTGTAAAAATGTGCTACAACAAAATCTATTCCGAGTTAACAACATTTTTCTCTATCAAAATCAGATTTTTGTTTTTAATCTTACTCTCAAACAAAATAAACATTTCAACAGTATTACTTTGTGTGTCATGAATACTTGATCTAGTTCTTGTAGTTAACATCATTAATACCTTGATGCCCTCCTTTTGTTTTTAATCTTACTCTCAAACAAAATAAACATTTCAAAAGTAGGTTGTATTACTTTATGTGTCATCAATTGATCTAGTTCTTGTAGTTACCACCATTAAGACCTTGATGCCTTCATTCTTTTGTCTACGTGGACATTAGGTCTAATGTTTAAAGTCTAACGCCCATGTAGACCAAGAACAATGAACGCATCAAGATCATTGTAACGTAGTCTAACTACAAGAACAGAATCACAGGGTGAAACCTAAGGCAATACAACCTACAAGTAATTGTGATCCAGAGACTACGCGGCAACGAAATAATTATTTTCAAACTATAAAGACAAAGAGTGGTTTCCTAATAAATTATCAACGCAGAAATCAACCTAGTCAATAATGACTTTCACGAACCAATCCACAACCTCATCAACAATTTTAAAAAGTCCGGTTTAGTCGATGACGCGAAATCTAGATCGACTAACAGATGCGTTACTTTACACGAGGCGGTTCATAACCAGTAACATTAACGGTTAAGTGATAACCAGACAACGGCGCAGCCTGGTTACATTTACATTAACAGCGCATCTAGTTACCGGTTACTATCGCGGGGAGAGTGCATTGTCCACTTGCATACTACGTGTTTCTTACAGTCTAACTACACTTCCGGGTTGCTTAACGAGTCCGGGCTGTTTCTACCCTATTGTGGCTTTATAGCTTTCTTACACGTGTTAAAATGTTTAGTACTTTCTCCGAATAAGGGATTGTGTGATAACTGTTTTTGTGGTGGAATACTTTTCGATAAACTTTACCGACCATAAGAATTCTTATGAGTTTTTTTCTCATATTCGACAGGGCACTTTTAAAATACTTTTGGTCCTACTTGTAGCTAAAGTATATACAGAGTTTAGTGTCGGATTTTGCTTAGCACTGTCCGGTTATAGGTTGTTGAAATAAAATTTACCCTCAACAGATATAGTTGAGTTGACAACATTTATTGTGGGTGGATCTATTGGAAATATAAAACTTTGATTGTGCAGTGTTATTGTTTAGCTTACAATGATCTTTGTACTGAACATCAAACACCCGAAACTTTTTATATAGCACTGACCTGAACATTAAAATATATTCTCCCCAATATGTCTTTTTTTTGTCAATTAGGTTCTATCACAAAAAATATGGAAAACGTTTCCAACTGGATTAAAATATTTGATACATTTATCCGGAGGGATCTTTTAAATATAAACACAGGGGGTTGTCTCTTAAAACCCCGAAGGTCTCTAATTTTAACCATCGTTTCTTACTCATTATCTGATTATTTCCGTCAGACCTTCACCTCCTAGGACGCTAGTCTCTAACCCGGCACCGTTCTACACATAACCTCAGGTTAGGTCTAGTGGGTCGCGGAACTATCATATACATAGAATCCATTGGTAATTGGCAGTATTTGAACCCGGGACATCAGGGACAGATTCCAGCGCTCTACCAATAGACCAGCTCGCTCTCTACCGTGACAGACTGATCCAAAACCTCCACTAGGAATTATATAAATTGTACATACCCAGCTGCGAAACTGATTTAAGGCCAACCTTAAATTTTACTAAACCTTCCCCATAGCCTGTTTCACTGACCTGAGTATTAGAGAGAATTCTCCATGCCTATTAGGCTCAATATTCTTCAACATACAGTTTTAGCCACCATACAAATTAAAATATTGAACATATTTGTCATGAGTGATCTGTTAAAAACATTTTGTTTCTCCTTAAACCCGCAGGTCCCTAATCCTAACTATCGCTACTAACTCTTGAATTGATTACCATCCTCATGTATACATGCTTCAGGACATGCGTTAGCTTGGAATTCTATGAATTTTACGTACATTCCTGGTAAAATTGGCTTAGGGATAACTTCTTCTGAGGCTTAATTCCCTTTTACCTCCCTCATATACTGTTCCACTGACCTGGGTCTTGTACCGGATGAAGTACACCTCCGGCTTGCTTGGCTGCGTAGGCGCCGGGGTAGGGATGGTGATCTCAGGCTGTTCGTCAGGCTTCTTCACCAGCACGTAGATCAGCGTCTTCTGCTCGTTCTGAGGGATCACAGGGATATCAGGGACAGTTGGGGGCGGTGGAGTAGGAGCCTTGATGAACACAATCTTGTAGTGCTTCTGTGGAGGTGGAGGCGGCGTGGGGCGGCGCGGTGCGTAGTACGTAGGCTCTGGGGGTGGCACGTGCACGTAGACGTGTTTGTGAATGACCGGAGCTTGCTGCGGAGGGCCGTATACTGGGGGCGGCCCGTAGCTGCCGCCGCCGCCACCGCCTCCACTGATGGGGGCGGCATAGCTGTCTAGGGGTAGACCTCCACCGAATGATAGAGGAGGTTCGGGCCTGCATACCGCCACTCCTACCATTCCCAATAACTGAAACAGAACAGTACATATTTATTTTGGGTTAACATTTTAATGAGACTAAACACTTGTGTCACTAAATATTTATAAAAATACACTACCCAAGTTGACATACCAAAACTATAGTGTGCTACTAATGAATACAAATCTTACTAACCATAAGGTTAGTATTTATTGTTGCTACTGGGTTGAACTTTATGACGGTGTGTGTTTTGAGTAACATAGTAAAAACTGTACTCTCGGACATACCTTTTAAGATTTTAAAAATACAACTGTCACTTGTGAAGTTTTTAAAACCCACCTACTATCGTCATTCATGGATATGATATTGATTGCAATATTAAACTTCTAAACTACACATCATTTAGTTTTCAATACGCCTATTTATTTGTTAATTTAAGTTATGTTTTAATAATGTGCTTTAACCTAGTTTATATTTCATTGCCTTATTTATAGCATAATCAAGTTAAATTAAATATTGATTTTTAGATTTATTATTAATTATTGTAGCCAACATATCAGCGCTGCTTTATTTAGGACTCTTCATAATATTCTTGAGAGATTTCATTATTAATGTGCGTGGTTAAAATTAGTCGAACTCCTTTCACAGATCTCCTACAACTACTCTTAATTAATCTTGTGAACTCTGACTCAATTCTAGAAAGATAAAGCATACAGATACTCTACAGAAAAGACTCAGTTTCATATATAATACTGTAAACAGGTATTTATTTCATTTTAAATTTTTTAAACAACATTGTACTAAAGAAAACCTCTCCGGTAACATAAAATCTTTTGTCTGAAAACAATTCATGCGGAAAACCTAGGAACTACATAGATCACTCGCTATCATCTTACCGGATGATTACCATTACATCTGCACCCACATTACGTAAGGCGTTCCTGGTCTACAAACTGGATCTCTCAATTACAGACGGACGGTGACCAGTGAGAGTGATACTCAAGGTCACACTTTCCACTTTCAAACACGAGTCCGATTTTGAAAAGAGCGGCGCGCGGCGCGACGCGGCAGCCCCCATTGAAATGGTAATGGTAATGGTAATGGTAGTGGCCGGACGGCGGCCGAAGAATGGACGAAGGATTTACACGGCCAGAGCATCCTCACGCACAAAATGTTTTCACTTTTATCCAAAATATAAAATAAGATTAAGTTTGTCTATGCTAAAACAAAAATGTGGAATCGTTGTCAAAAGGGAACAAAACAAAAAGTACGCACGATGCGAAACTATCCATTCTAGCTCTATTACTCTGTTCCGTTATTAATATAGTATTATTGTGCCACGTGTTTGGTTTAAATTAGTTCATATAGTTTAGGACCCTAATGGATTTCACACATGAATATTGTATACGTATATTTGCTACGGTATGATTAGCATATTCTTTTGTTTTATAGGCTATTGTTGGTGTTCAAGTGAATCATAGCAGAAGTCGATCTAACAATCCCGTCTAATAAAACTAAAACATTAGAGCACCATATCTTAGATTATCTAAGAAAATGTTCTCGCTTTGGGTCTTTAATTTATCACTTTTACATTGTGAGTCTTTTCCAACTAATTTTAATATTTGAAGTCCCTAATGATGTTTTTGTTAAGTCCCTATCAACATTTGAAAACAAATCTAGAGCAGCTCGCGTTTCGAAATAGAGTTTAGGTTTTGTGATGATAAATAATCCCCTTGCTTTGGTGTTTATGATCCACGCACGGGCAGTTATTCTATGTGGACGTGCAAAAGCAAGGTTTAAATTAAGCCGCCAACCTCTTAAAAAATCAAGGTCTATAACAACAATAACTTCCATAACAATTAGTGGTCATTCATTGGAATCAGACTGTTTTGTTTCTTGCCAAAACTGTTTTTTATACTGTAAATGTATTATGTTACTTCCAAGTCTATTACAAATTTAAGACTTATTACATAGGTAAACAAGTAAACCTTTAAAGAATAAGTTGATACGTGGATCGTCCAGAAAGTAAAGAACGATAAAAAAAAAACAAAGATATCAAAACCAAACTTCATTTACAATGCCCGCGGTACGTTATTCTACTTTTCTCTGCCGTCGCCTACGTTAAATTGGACCTGGTTTTCTATTCCGATGCTCCCAGTCGTGGAAATCCTATGCAAACGAGGTCATATACGTTTCAATTTCATATCTGATCTTATGATCTTATCATCTGGAGATCGCTGATCAAAAGATAAGTCGCGTGAACTGCTGATCACTACATTACCAAGTCATCAGCACTTTCTCCAATACTTGTCGGTCTCTACACGCATATCGAACTGAATCCGTGACCGTCTTCCCATACAGAACAGAACATACTGTATTGTCCGGTACTTTCACCCCCGGACCCCGGTAGCAGCCGCCTGCATCCTCACTGCTTCCTACACAGACCCTTCTGGAAACGTGGGAGCAGCTTATGGCCTTGCTAACTCTGCTTAACTGTTTCCTAGTGTTTAATATAGTGATTTGTCATTGGCATAACGCTTCGGTATTGAACTTCAATCTAGTATTACAGTTTATTCTAATGTTCGATTTTAGAGGAGACTATTAGTATTAGGTCAGAGTGTCGATTAGGTTCAAATATAGAGATAATTTGTTACTGTCTTCGTGAAAGGTGGTAAAAAACAGTACAAATTGAGAACTAAAAACTGTGTAAGTTTTTGTCATAATAGTAGTCTACTGTATGTAGTATGTTATTCATTTTCTGACACAAAGTTTTAAAGTATAATGGTTTCGTATTGGTAAAACGAAAACCCCACAAACTATATAAACTCCTGTTGGTATAAGACTATATACTTAAATACTGTTGCTAATAGATTATGCTAAAAAAATCTGTTTTGAAATGATTAAACAAATATTTTATACCTATTGCAATTTTAGAAATACTCCATTTAAACAGAATGGTAAAGTATGCCAATATTGATCGGTAATCTAAAACTGGTAAATTCATTATCTGGAAATTTTGAACAGTCAATTCGAATTGTAACAAATATCAAATGCGATTGCAGATAAACTAAAACTTTTAATTGGATAAAATACTTACAAATTAATGTTGTACTTGTATTCTAAGAAAACAATAAGATAAGGGTTGTTAGAGCTAATTTTCAATTATATCTTATTCACTTTGTTGCACAATATTTTTTGACATCGAACTTGTTAAAGAGTTGTATTGTAATTTTAATTTGAAACTCTTAATTGAAGAAGAGTTTAGTAATTTTAAATTCATATTTTCTTTATAATTTTATTTTTGTAAAGGGGCTTTGGATTTAGTTTAGTATTAATGCATCGTACTTCGGCGATGGAGGAAATTGCTTGTTTCGATTTCAGATGTTTTGTTATCAAATAAGCACACACGTGAAAAAACAAGTAAATAAACAATTTATCGATGATATTTTTCGACCTTACTTAAATATTTTAGTTAATTCCCAGGTTCCAAAATGGTTATAACCATCCCATATATATTATAACCAATTTCCGTGACCGTCCGCTTTTGTTTGGTATATCCCATATTGACAAGGGGATAGTCAACTTTTCATGAAATGTGTTGAAAGTTAAAATGTACAACGCATCAACCAGAATAAATTACGTCCTATACTAAGTCCTCTACCGAGTTAGTGTTTAAGACGTAAATTTGTGAGTACTGTAGAATGTTTTTGAAAACAAAAATTTAGTGAGAGTGTTTATTTGCTCGTGTACAAACACCTCAAACACCATAAGTTTATATGCCTTTTATTCTAGAAATAGGAAAACTAATTGCTTGAAATATAAAGCTACAATTTATCTAATAATATTTAAATGTTGTACTAAAAATTTACTTAATATATGATATTTTGAATGTGTGTTCAAAGGTGTCTAAATACTCTGTATCGTACTAAAAAAACTCAAGGTGTAATCCAGAAAAAAATAAAGCATGCATATATATCTTAAATAATATTCAATTAAAGTAGGCTATTGACCAACAAAGAGAAAATGCAATTGACCTGTTGAATGCATTGACACAATAGTTTTATTATAACTTAATTAATAATCATGACACACTTAATTTTACACCTGTTACTAAAAATAATACCCCAACCACAGCAAACCTGCAGACTAAGCAAATTTCCATTTGCTTGGTTGGATTTACACTATAATATCTTCTTCAAAATATCACATTTGTTCCCTATTTAAATAGCATTAGTTTAACAAGTAGTTAGGTTTGCTGCAAAAGGGAAGGTAAAATTGTTTTTTTTATGTTAATAGTTTAGTATGAAATAAACACAATTTCCAAATTTAATCAAAATATGTCCATAAACAAGAAACTACACAGTTTACTTACTCTCCATAGCATTTTATATTTAAATTTATATTTACTATGAATTTTATATTTAATTTTTTTTGTAATTTTCTCCATAACTATGAGACGCATATCAACGCTTCAATGTACTAAATTATTTGTTATTTTTTTAGCTCTGCAAAATGGTTTGCAAATAAATTGCAAAATTTTATGATTTTAGGATCAAAAATGGGAACCCCCCATAAACCATTGTTCCCACGGTCCGATCATGCTGGTTCACAAACTCGTTTGGATGGTGTTTTGGGTCTCTAGGGGTCTCAAAACGGAAAAGTAAATTAGTCCCGGGTCCAGGTCTTGCCATGAGTACTACGGTAATAGCTTATTCCCTATATGGAAACTTCGCTAAAATAAAAGCTTTTATCAGTCCACCATTGATTCTGCATCTTCCCTAAAACTTTCGACAAAAGATATTGCAATAAAATTACTCTACATCAACCTCAGTTACTTCCTCAATTGCTTAACACAGAAAATCGCAAAGGCAAATCACTCGACAAGTACGACGCGGAAACGATCCGGAAGAAAATAACCCGAATGCTGCGGTGATAGAGTGCCTAGCATCTGTCATTTATGAAACGTAACAACCTGGCCATGCGCTGTTATTGGGCAACCGCTATCTCTGCGCATGCCTAGACAACGAGAACACTGCGTCTGCGTCTGCGCACGTCGCCGCACTCGTAAACTGGACAATTGTTGCGTACCGGAACCGGATGTGTTACGATTGCATCTCCAGAATCTTATAATTGCCGGACATGTGTTGTGTAATGGCTTGTTATCTAGTTTGATCGGTTGACCACGCGCGTTCCAGCAGCTTGTACATTCCTAATGGGGCATTAAATTGTGCTTTTATTGGTTACTGGTTCGGTATGTTTTCCCTTTCGGTTTTCAAATATTTGCAACTGGTTTAGTTGTTAATGGTAGTGGTGTAGTTTTTATACGTTTTTGTTTAACATCGGTTTGGTGGTGGTGGTTTTATATGGAATTATACATATTTCATTGCGTAAGATAAAATAATCGAAAAATATCGTATTTTCCGTTTTTATGATACATTTCCCTATAAAAGTTAGAATTTAAATATCCTAGTATTAATTTGATTTCAAGTTTACACAAACCTTTGTTTGACAATATAAAAAATGTCATGCTAGAACTACTAAAACTACTTGAGACCCTAAGCACAGTTAAGTATTTTAGTTTAGGTGGCCACCATTGTTAATAAAATGTAAATTATTTGAATTACAATAAAAAAAAACTATTAAGACTCCGTTCCTCCGGTTTATTTTTAATTTTTCTAAATTGCTTTTTTCCATTATTAAAACTAGCTGTTACCCACGGGCTTCACCCCGTTTGACTTCATAAGTATTAATAAAACTATTGATTGGTTAGGTTAAGCTGAAATAAACAAAACAGAATACAGTATTAGAAACAAATAATCTCACCTGATTTTAATAAGGCAATAAATTGAAAGAATAGCATACAAATGAATTCAGCTGAGGTATTTTTAACATTAGGTATATGGAAAGTTCATATACCTAATGTTAATCATAGGGCAATTTAAGAAATAATGGATAGTTTTGCGCAAGGTTTCTCGTCATGACGAACATTTTAAGTATATGGTTTAGGGGGGTGTGACTTGTAGATTTTTCAAAAGTTCATGGGTACTTTTGGCTTTATATATAGATTACTGATAACAAAACAATCAGCTGCTTATTTACTTTTGTGTAAACCTATTGGCAAAAGTAAGGTTATAGTTAGGCCTAATGAAGTTTTCTAAAATGTTATGCTTACCAGGTCTCATAATGAATATATTAAGCCCGATATTCATTTAATAACTTTTGTAACATCATGACGATCAATGGTTCTATTTACATACCTATTATTATTCAATGAAATGTACATTGGGCTCAAGGCATTCTTCGAGATTACTGGCGACCATATGTTGGACTTGTTATTTGTTCTTGAAACTAGGTATACTTTATAAATATCGAAGAAGACTATTAAGAGATGTTAATAGGAACTGGAAAGATTTGTTTGTGAAAACAAAACAAAATTACTGATAATTATAATTGTGATGCCATACAGTAATGTAAAATGAATAAATTTTGCTTTTATAATTTGTTCTTTTCATGGAAGTGCAATACTGCACAATTTATTTTAATTTTGTTTATGTTATTTAAAATAACAATATGTGACTTAGGATAAATATCTTGTTTTAAAATATTAACTATAAACAGTTTTAATATAATTTTATAGAGTATTTAAATAAAGTTGTTGATAATATTTGGAAATTAATAGAAATTTAAATAATTATACATTGTGTTTTATGCCAATGGTAATTTTATTAATGTTTTGAAAAAAAAATCCGTTAAATTAATAAAATTAAGTAGTTAAACACACTATTTTGATACAATTACTTACGTTGTTAAAACGTGACTATTTTTGTAGAATATGTTATTGGGGAACCAAGATATCGGGAATCATTTGAGGACATCAACTTTATTGAAATATCATAAATATATTCAGCGCCATGATCCAAGGATACTAGATCTCAAATATTGCTTCATCTTATCCTTTAAAATTGTCCCTCCTCAAACAAGATAAGATCGTTGTATTATGGACCACTTAATGTTTTTTGCTCGTTTTATATTCCTCGTGAATTATGTTATTTTGTATACTGATCATAAGATACACTTTCCAATTGAAGCAGTTGGAACGTAGCATTAACTGTTACAACTAAGTGAACTTTGTGGCATCGTGTGAAAAGGAGATGTTATAGAAACCGACAATGAAAGTAGTCTGCTGAGTCAAGTTTACGTGTTGCTATGGCAATGGGAAAGTCAAACAATGAATGAGTGCTCTAATTAGCGAAGAAAACCGAATGTCTGTGATTTTGTTTGTACAGACAAACTGGTATATGTTTGAAAACATCATATAGAGTATTTACGAAGATAATTAATTATAATTACACTTTATTGTCATTATACGTTTCACGCTTCCAAAAAAGTAACACGCTAGTAAAGCAAAGGACTTTTTCAATTTTTAGATATTTACAATATTAATTAGATTACTAGTTCAATTATCATTTGCAATTTTAAACTTGCTAATAATTTGCCAAATAACTAACGTTTACCCGTTCATTTTGAGTGATGATAAAACAGAAATATTTAATATTGTATTTTATATAGTTATTAAAACGTATTTTAATTTAAATTTTGTACAACAGAATCACAAAACGTGATTGGGAAATGTAGTCCTACTACTTTATTTTTGTAGTATACTGGGGATTTACACATTTAATAGACATATACAAATTATGGTTTTTTTTATTTACTTCTTTGCTACTGTTAGCGAGCAACAATATATACCATACAAATTGGTAAAAACTTATGTCCGTAAAACTGGTTACATTAACTGAAGCGTATCTGATAATGGATGGCTTTAAAGATTGAAACACGCCATTCACAAGTAATTGTAATTAAAAAAAATTGAATTCAAAAACAATATTTTATAGTTCATTCCATTCGTGCTACACAACTTACACAATGATTTTTTTATCAGCATTGTGTTAGTAATTTGGATAAGCACAATGGTATGTGTTATGCGTTAGGTATTCAAAATATAAACAAATGAATAAACATGTGTATAAATGTTGTGTCAGGATTAGTTTTTAATTCATATTTAAACATACAGTATTTAATTTGAACGGTTTTTGTCCAGAAGTTTTATATGTTTTTACATATTCATTTAATAAATATTATATGACAAAGATAAAATTGCCCGTCGCCATTGCATTTAAAAACTAATACAGTAGTTTAAATATGATGCAGACAAACACTGAGTAAATCGTGTTTATCCTCGCATTTAAAAAAAATGAAAACATCGTCCAAAACGTTTTATACTACCCTTATACTGTATAAGTTCGTGTGATAAAAGTATTGCATTTTACTTTAGTTTATTTTAGACTATTATCATTTTATTCCAATGACATAATTAAGATATTTTGTAATAAATCGTTGAATATTTACAACAGCTTTTTGACTTACGCAAATGGAAAAAAAACACATGAAAGAGCTGTTTATATTTGATCACGGAAGAAAGACAGATCTTTGAGATAAAAAGAAAAAGAAAATAATAATTTAAAAAAGAAGGCACGTCTTATCTAAACGGAATAATTTGGTTGTAACAACCAGCTGTAGCCCATTCTAACTACCAATATACAGCCTATCAGTTATAATAAACCACTAATCTATAATTCACCATCGTATAAATGATAACAAGAAAACTACTCTACACCCTAACCGTACACTCATATCCAGTTGCTACTAAAATCCTAAAAACAAGTAGGCTCCCAGCACACAGCCTTGCGGTACTCCGTACGTACCAGTAACACTCGCATGATGTAGAGTTGGACGTTCACAGACACGCACTCACTGTGGTACTGTCTCTTGGTCACTTTCTATCTTTATATACTCCACCTCCTCGCCTCGTCCACCTGACGTAACTCGGGCGACCTCTCAAGGCCCGAGGATCAATGTCACCGCAGTAAAAAGTAAATAAACAGATCAGGTGCGCTCCACGGGGTTAACTGGGGGATGCCACGTGTGGAATTGAAGATGTCGTTTGGGGTTAAATGGGGGAAGATGGGATAGTGGGAAAAAGTTTTGTCTAGAGGATTTTGTTTGAAAGGTATATTCCCGGATTATTTGTTTGTGGCATTATCACATTACTATACACGATTATTGCAACTGTCCAGAAAAAGATCGCGCTGCAAAGACAAGCGATGTACCATAGCCTATAGTAAACTCAGTAATAGAGGTAAGCCAAAACGATTTCTAATAGAAAGAGAATAAGATGAGTACTGCTATACTTGTTTTACTGGATAACTGAGTGGTTAAAGCGCTCGCCCTATGGTCAGAAGTTTGCCGGTTCGTTCCTGAGAAACGCCTGTAGTCTTTTTCATACTGTCCTTGATCATTTAGCTTGTTAATTAACGGATTTGCTAAGAAATCCTTTAGTATCTAACAAAGCCTACTCAACCACTCGACGCTCACCCTTCAGCCATATTTACCTTACTATAGTACCCTACCCTGGTGTGATCGACGTCGTATTAAACCAATGTAATTTAGTCAAAAGCTATTGTTGCTTGGCGAAATTGTATCCCGTTACTTCACGTCAGAAATCACGTCATAGCCAAAGCTTAGCTTTAAGATATAGTATATAGTAAATATAGCATGTAGTAAAGACAATATTGATAGTTGAAACACAATATTTAATTGGCAAATAACAAATAGCATATGTTCAATTAATCTTACAAAATAAAATTAGAGATTTATTACTTGAAAGGCAATTTCTAATTGCTGGTACTTGCGGATCGTACCAATGGTGTGAGTGTAGCTTTTGACATACTACTGGAAATGATCATTTGTAGTAGTTGGGCAACAACTATATAGGAAAAGAAGGTTAAGTCAGTGTTTACTAATGTTAGTCGTGATTTATAGGGACTATTGAAAGGTATTGAAAGGTGTTAAAAGTTCAAACAATTAAAATCCATGTTTGTAGCCCCTGAGCTGTTGGACATAATGTAAGACTAAACTACTTACGTCATCCCGTCACAGCTCAATAAAATATGTCTATTCAGGACATGTTTCAGTGTTAAAACACCATCGTCAGCTTCAGGTACATAATGTAGAGTTGATCAGTTGTTAACATGGTCAGAAGATATACACAGTACGAAAACAATTAAATACATAAAACAATTAAACATTTAAGAAACAGGCCTGTTCTAATAAAAGATGACCGACCGCACAGATAGCAAGGGACACATGTACCTGGAATGAGATGGTGTTTTAACAGCAAAACACGTCCTGAATTGACATATTTTATTGAGCTGTGATGGGATTACGTAAGTAATTTAGTCTTACATTAAGTTCAAACATCCACCGACACAATGATACATGTAAATTCGTCTAAATTGTCTAAACTACTACAAATGGTAAATTGCAGATTTTATTGCAATGGTATAACAGTGTGACAAGATAATAAATCTTTATAGACATTAAACAATATAAACATATAAAAATGTTTTATAAACATTTTGATAGTGAAAGAATTATATTTTTATCAATTTGGAATATTTTCTCACACAAATTCGTCAAACTAATGTTAAATTCAGAAAGTGTACAAATGATGTACTTGACTCCACTCTTTTTTGACTAATTGAGTAAAAAATACTTGTTTAGCCCGCAACGCGATTCATTCATCCACAAATTGTATGGATATGACTTCTCTCCTTCAGGCGAAAAAGATGAGCTGAACATTGTTTGATTCTAAATTATTCCACTGATTTTGCGGAAGAAAATAGTCCCATTGGCACGCATGAATTTACCAAACTTTTAGTTACCAATAAAATTAGTTTGTTATCATGTTGCAATGTATGTTTCACCTCAATAACATCGACGTGCAACCTTTACATGTGTAAAAAATACTGTATTGGTGGAGTATAATAAGGTAGGCCTACTTCTTAATAACGGTACGGTTTGAACATAAACATTTCGCAGGAGCTCCATAATGAATCATTGCAACAATTTGTTTCGGTAGGCCGGGGTTGCGGCGTTGCCACTTTGTCTCGCCGCGGTCTTGTATTAGAAGAGGTAATACAATAGAAAAAAAACATGAACTATTTCGAGGCTAATTTAAAGGTAAACAATTTACAAAATTGTCATATAATATGTTTGGCGATTCTGTTAGCTTAAATAAAGGCGCAGTATAACGAAAAACTTTGGTTAGCATGCGGAATAGCAGTGTCTTTTTAAACTATTCTCCTTTTTCAACCTCGGGTTTGCATTGGTCGTTAAACTTGAATGTATGGCAAATTAGTCAATTGATGCCACAGTGATGTGATTTGTACTATTTTGTATATTGTTTAGAAAGGAAAACGAAGTAAAATGCATTTTTACATATGGGTGGCTAGCCTGTAGAGTGCAACTACTGTACAGCAGTTGTAAGTGCCATAGATCCACTGAAAACCTCCTATCCTCTTCAGACACCTGGGAACACTTGCGGCACTTATCAAAACCAGGCCGAGATTGTCCACGCTCACACAAGCTATGTGTACATATGTCATAGTACTAAAATACCAACCCCAACAACCTTATTGCTTTGTTCTTCCTAAATAGCTTCAACAGTTCCTGGTTTGTACTGACGTGAGAGGGCGGGAATAAAGAAAAGGAATCTATAAACAACGTTACATGAGTACAACAGTCATTCACGCTCGACCACGCGTTCACAACGTCCGTGGTTTGAAGTAGTTAAATCAGCCTACTACCACTGGGTGGTCTACAAGCGGGAGAACTCTGCTTAATTAATAATTCACCACGATCTACTGAGCACTAGTGGACCAGGCAACAATAAAAACACACTCCTTACCATGTTGTAAATATCTAATGACTGTCTATCCAGTGATTGTCGGTTGATTTTCGACTTTGGTGTTTTACAGACCACACCGATAAATCGAATTCGAAATAAGATGTTAATTAGTTTAAATAGCAAAATCTTCCTAACCTGACCCCAAACATAGTTCACCCTTAGGTTAGGTTGGATTATAATAGGAGTGTTCGGTATAATACCAAAGTACCGTTGATTTAACATTGATGATTTAGGAGCTTAGAACATACTAAGAATGTTTAGATTTTGTAAACTCAACCGAAGAATAGTTGTTGTTGTTGGTGAAATCCATATATACGAGTAAATCAAGTACCTATGAACTGTTGAGTAAACTCCCCCCCCCCCCTCCATAAAACATATACTGAAAATGCTCGTCATGACGAGAAACCTTTCCTCAAAACTATCCATTATTTTATAAACTGCCTTTTAGGATTCCTTTCTTAAGGGAACTTTCTATGTACTTAATGTTAAAAATAACATAACTGTACTTATTTGTTTGTTATTCTTTCAATTTAATACTTAAAATCAGGTGTGATTAACTGTTTATTACTGTATTCTGTTTTGTTTATTTCAGCTTAACTTAACCAATCAATAGTTTTATTAATACTTATGAAGTCAAACGGGGTGAAGCCCGTGGGTAACAGATAGTATAATAACCGTTTAAAGATGGTGACGAGTAGCTGAGCTTTATTGAGGTAAAATATGAAGTCCTTCCAACCTACCTTGGCATTTTTATGTTCAATTTAGGCTCCAAGGAACAAGTTTTGGAATATGTGTCGAGGTCACACATATTTGTTATGATGGTGCTCTTTATCACCAACAAACTTCAATAGAAATAGCCTATCTTTAATTTAGGAACGTATGAACTAGTTTCAATGTTCTTCAATCAGCTGCACTACAAAAATAAATGCCAGAAGTTAGTTTTACTTCTTAAAATAAAAGATTAACACATAAAAAAACTAAATATGCCATTCAACTAAAACATAAATAAATAACCAGGTATAATCTATAGTTTAGCTGATTGTAACAACCAAGCTTATACTTACAAGGAAAAAATAATTCAAATATTCTTTTTTCACTTTGAAATGTATTTATCAGGAAGATTACCACGTTAGGGAAAACCTTAGACTAAACCAGACCAATGTCTAATTTATTAGGAATCATCTTGTCATTTAATTGGAATAGAATACGATTATAAATCCAACTGAATTGCAAGCAAAATACTAAAGCAAGGCATATAGTTGTTAGCAACGTTTTGACCGGACAGACCTCTCTAGTAATTTAGGAAGATTCTCTCTCCCAGACGAGTGAAATGGAAAGGAAGATCCTCAGATTCTGGAGGTCCGAGATAGGCTCACAAGGAACTAGAGCCTAGAAACAAGCAGAGAGGTGAAAGGGAATTTGTTCACACCTCACTCGAAAGCCTAAAATTATGTCTTCTTTCCTTGTACCTACATTTTGAAAACTTAGACGAAAGTAAAAAAAATATTTGTTTACCACACTATGATGTTTTTAGCCGTTTTACAAACGTTTGCTACGTTTTTCTGTCCATGACAGGTGTCATCGTCATTTGGGGACCAAGCAGGTAAAAACCCTATCCCTAGGGCCGAAAATCAGCTGTTCCCTTACTTCTTAAAACATAAATGTATATTAAATGTACAAGCAGTATCCATATTATGCAATAGACTTGTTTTATTGTCACCGCTGCCTAGCCTCTATTTATTATAATTGCTGAGTCCCCTAATATTTTTTCACATAACATTAAAGTTGTGGTTGTGTGCATTTATAGTATAATATTTTTCTTAATTCTGTATAGTGTGGTGAAAAAAATGCCATTGAATTGTCTCTTTAGTCTCTTCACTTCTGTAAACTAAGCGAATTAAATAGACTTTTTGAATCAATAGGGTACGGAATGGTAACGATTTTCTTTGGGTTTACTAATATACCTATAACAGGCTGAATAATAAATACATTAAACACAATAGTAT